TTTATTGAAAACAATCACCTCACTGACAGGTGAGGGGCCAGGGAGGAAAGTCATTACCTGTGCTAGGATCCTGAGGCCTCAGAGAGCCAAAGAGAAAAAGAAATCTGCCTCTCAACTATGGGGCTTCAATTGTGCAGCAAACACTCTCTACAGTGGAAAATGTTCCCATCTCACAGAGAACAGCAAAATCAGTTTCCTCTTGACCTCATGGGGGGAAATGTAGTGCTCAATGTGATGCCCCCAAGCCCACAGTACCAGTAAAACCACGCCAAAGTGCTATTGAACAAATAGATTCCAGGCACTTTGCTCACCTGGGATCCCTGAGCCAGTGTGACATGTGTGTGGGATGTGTACATGTGTGTCTGAGGGTGTGTGGGCAGACATACAGAACTGTAAAGTCTGTTTCAGGTAGGCTTACTGGCCACAGAGCCCTTGGTAGCTGTCTGTCTCTATTCCCCAACCCCCAATGCTAGAGTATATAAGCACTCACAGCCATAAAAGCCTGGCTCTTTTATGTGGGGTATTAGAGATTCGAACTTAAGTCCTTATGCTTTTACATACCAGACATTCTTCTCCACTGAGCTACCTCCCAACCCCTAATGCTCCCTTTTGAAAGACACAGGACTGTACTTTCATAAGAACCATTTTAGAGGAATTGCTCCTGAAGCTCTTCTTTTTCTCATCTTAGAATCATGTCACATATTTTTTGAATTGCACAAACCTGCACATCTACAATTCACTTTGATGTACAAATGCATCACTGTCTGTGGACATCCTTTCCCCTCAACCAATTCCCCCTCTACCAGATCTAGATATATATAGTTAGTTTCCAGTCCCTTATAATCTTCAACACACACAAACACAAACTACACTTGACATGCACATATAGATGTTGCATTTTGTATTACTAAGTTAGAAATTCTTGAAACTTCTTTATGGTTTCTGCCTTTTTCACTCAACAAAATCTGCTATAAAAGGTTCTAAGCTATACAATTTAGTTTCAATTTGTTCTTTTCAATGGTTGTGTATGATTCCCCAGTCATAACTTAGTGCCTTCCTGCTGATGGATATACTTTGTTTTCAGCTCCCTAGTCCTAAAAACAACAAAGGAATCAGCATCCTTGTATGTTGTATTTGTTTCATGTCTAGTGCACAGATTCTTCTCCTTATGATAGAGGGCTATGTGAGTGGTTGTTATCAACATCTTTGCAGGATTCTATGCTTTTTATTATTTTATTTGCAATGTTAAATATGTTTTTGTTTCTGATAATTCATATTAGCTTCCTTTCTAAATATGATAATACTTATTTGAGTGATAATTCATATTAACATATCCCTCCCTCTTCATTACTTGTCATTATAAACAAGTGCAGAGGTAGCAAAGTGTGGCTGGTTATAGAAATACATAATATATTGAATTTTATTTATTTGTGTGTGTGTGTGTGTGTGTGTTCTTGCACATGTGTAAGGAACCCAGAGGATTACATTTAGGAGTTGGTTCTCTCTTATCATGTTGAGTCCTGGGGATGGAACTGCAGTTGTCCAGCTTTGCCAACAGCACTGTCTTGATGGCCCAATGTTGAATTTTAAATGCCCTTTATTTCATGCTGTTCCAATTTCCCCAAGTATCCTGGTGTTTGACATCAGACTTTCACTATTACTACATGTCACTTGAAAAAGATTGAATTCTGTGTCATTATCAGAGATTAAGGAAGAAAACAGATGACAGGAATTAGCAAAGCCAAACAAAAATAACCCACCTTCCAAATTTCAGCAAATATTATCTGAAAGAGAGGGAGAAGGCAGGAGAGAGGGGGGAAGGAAGGAAAGAAGGAGAGAGCAGAGATGGATGGATAGATGAGCAGATGGATGGATGGATGGATGGATGAATAGATAATAAGAACAAAGACAAACTCCTGGGACTTGGCCATCCCTATCAGCTAAATCTGAAATCTACACTGTTAAATATGTAAGATCAGTTAGGGGCAGGGGACGTTTTATGGAAGCAACTGCCTTTTTTTTTTTTTTCTCTCTTCCTCATTTGACAGCATTTATTAAAAAAAAAAAAAAAAAAAAAAAAAAAAACATGGAAAAGGGGAAGGCAGACTCTTACCAGATACATCTCAATCAATTCTTCATAGATATTGTTTCCCTCTTAGACTTAATTATCCTCCTGCCTCAGCCTCCAGAGTAGGCAAGACTACAGGTGTATCCAATCTTGCCAAGCTTGATTTGTTTGGTTTGAACATGTCTATGTGTTCAATCAGCATCGAGGTGTAACTTCCTTGAGGCCAATTTCAAAGTGCCATTTAGAGTTCACAAAAAATTAGCAAGATTCAAAATGGGTAGTTTAAGAAAGCCCTGAGCAGCAAAGGAACGGGCAGTAATTTGGTAGAAGAGAGAAAGGACTAGACTTTTGAGCTAAGAATGGACAGTTTAATCATGGACAAAAAGACATACATAGGATAGCCTGCATAGGCAGAGCTGCTGTGGAAGCACATTCCAGGAAAATCTTAAGAGATTACTTTAATAATAAACCATGCATTCTTCAGCAAGCTGTCACGGGATTAACTACCCCTTTCTAGACTGGGAGCACAGTCCAGATTCCACCATACCCCACCACAAGCAGGTTTTGTGCAAACAACGATTGTTACGCGGCGACCGTGGTTTTTAAAAACATCGCATTTAATTTTTTTCCTACCTTAATTTTCTAAACAAATTTTGGTGGCGATTAAAAAAAAATCACGCTTGCCACAGTTGAACATCGGGGGGGGGGGGGAACTTTGGCATGCTTTTCCTTATGTGGAGATGTTCATTTTAGACTTACTGAAAAGTTAACAAAGTAGATGTGACAGGAAACAGCACCTCCTGGGATAAAAAGAGTTAAATTTATTTTCATTTCTTTTTTTCCCCCTACATAATGTGAGCAGAACATTGAGCTATTGCCAAGACCAATATCAGCACCCTAGAGATATAAAAATACACTTCAAACCAGAGCTCTCCACTCCTGGCTCTTTAGATATAAAACAAGGGTGTCCATTTAGAGCTGTAATGTTGAGCCCACTCCTCACAAATGAGCTGTTTGGGCCCAGATCTTCTCTTTACACTGAAGTTCACAGTGGATGAAACAATTTTCTTTATCTGGTTTCTAAGGCAAATTACTTCCTTTTGGTGGGAACAATTAAAACTTGTCTTAGAAACAGTCTTTGAACTATACTGATAAAAATATGGGCTTGGGTGGGCACTTCCAAGCTGAGGAATAATACATGCTTTTTGGAGACTTTTTTTTTTTTTTTTGTATTATCAATATTCTCATTTGCTTGAATGGACTGCCTTTTATTTTTTCTCATTTTTGAGCCTTTTGAAATTAAACCATTTCTATAGACTTCTGGATATTAGACACAAAGTGTGATGTGCACAGAAGTAGCAGAATTAAAGTCCTCACACAAGTGTTATGTCCTCACAGAACTAACAGGTAGACATCTTTTTTTTTTTTTTCCTTGAACTCACAGATATCTGCTTGCCTCTGCCTCCCAAATGCTGGGACTAAAGGCATAAAGCCCAGCATTTTTTTTTTTTTAATAATCACAGAAAATTACCTCAGAGGAATATTAAGAGTTGCCATTATCACCCCTCTTCTGTGCATACCCAGGTGTGGAGGGAATGCAGAGGTCAGGAGGGGCAGCATACTGGCCAGCTGTGCTGTTCTGTGTCCCTTGCTCTCCCAGCACATGGGCCTGACCTACTTGCAAGCAGACACCACCACTCACATTGAGTCACCTCAAATTACACAGTGGCTTTGCAGCTGGGGCTAGGCATGGACCACAAAATACATCCTTGGTGGGCCATAAGCCCAATTTGAACCCTTGGTTTTCAGTGTTAAGATGCAAATCCATTGTGTTGCTTACTCAATAAAATCAACAACCCATTCCATCCAAGTGACACTTTGTTACTTTCTATCAATCAGTACACTCTGCTTCCAATATATGGGGGAGGAGGAGGAATCGCAGGAGGGAAACAGACAAGAAGAGAAAGATGTATAAGAAAAAAAAGGATTAAATGAAATGAGAAAGCAAAGCAGAGTGGAGGAAAAGGAAATGGAGGGGACCTTCCCAAAGCATGATTCCCTATGCCTTAAAAAGCATCACCATTTCTATGGAAATTTGACAACTGTCCTGACTTTAAAATGCACAGAAAAGAAATTGCAAGCTTCTATATGGTTCCTGGAGTCCGCTCTTCCAGACGTCTACAACTGAGCTTTGAAAGTGACATTTTTGAACATCTCTTCTCATATCTCAAGGTTTTCATGCAGGAATTAAAAAAAAAAAAAAATGCTGTAGGAACTAGAAGTCAGTTCCACTGAAAGGAAATCCAGAATATAACTTCTTTATACCATAAATGTAGATTATTAGATGAGTTAGAAGGATGCTAAAGAGTTTCGTTTAGGCCAGCTTCACAGAGAGAACATGGCCTTGCATCTGTAGGCATGGTATTAAACTTCTACATAACTACATCCCATTACGTGGACACACGTAAGTTTCTCTCCCATTTAAGCACGTCCACATTTGCAATTAACGGACACTGATTTCTTTAAATGTGACAGTCCAGTCACATGCTCTGCTTTAGATAGGACAGATCGGACCTGGAACCCACCATCCCACGTAGGGAATGTAGGGAGTAAAGGCATTTCTTTGTTCAAAAGGCCCCCGGGCGGTTTGGGATGAATTCGTGTGGCAGTCCACTTGAAGTGGCGATCCAGGGAACGGATCTGTGAAATACAACTTAGTGGATCCCACCCCTTTCCGAGTTTCCCTTTCCTGTCCTTACGTGCACCCTTCCTGGCCCCCGTTAGTGTGAGGCTGCTGGCCCAGGCTGTGAACAGTCCTTTCTCTGGGTCCCTGCGGTCGCCCCCAGCTGGTCGGGCGCACGGAGCGCAGGAGGCTAGGTGGCTGGCTGCAGCGCGAGTTAATAAACAGTTAAGTTTGGAAGACTCCGTAACACGTTGAGGGGGAGTTACCAAGCCCAGGCAGCAAAAACATCCCGCCACATTCCTGGGGAGTCCTCAGCTGCCAGCATCTGATTAGAACCATATCTCTCTCCCCGGGAGTGGCCGCGCGGCACCGAGGCTCCCGGCCGGAGGCTATTTAAGCGGGGCCCACCGCGTCTTCTGCGCTGTAGCCTATAGACTCCAGGCGCGGGGAAGTCATGCTGGCTCCGCAGAGGCACTAGCTAGCCCGTGAGTAGCTCTGCCATTCTCCTTCCCGTTGGCTCCATTTTTGCCGACCCCCTTTCTCTCCTTTACTGGCTTCTCTCTTCCCACCCCTGTCTTGGCTGCAGACTTTGGGCGGTGGGGAAATCTCACAAATGAGACAGTATACTCCGGGGCAAGCAGCGGTTTTTTGGCCTGACATCTGTGGAATGCTTCCAAGGAATGCATTTTACCTTTGGGGTCCGACTCCAAACGCCCATCCTGTGACGTTTAAAGAGCCCGTGTTTGTGTGTGTGTGTGTGTGTGTGTGTGTGTGTGTGTGTGTGTGTGTGTGTGTGTGTGTGTGCGTGTGTGGTGTGTGTGTGTGTGTGTGTGTGTGTGTGTGTGTACAAGCGCAGAGTGCTTAAGGGCTTTGGGGACATCCCAGGGAGGACACCAGGGTGGCCGCTGACCACCTAATTAACTGCTGAAGGGTGTTCGGTTTTGCCTTGTGACAAAGGCTCGACGTGGTTTGTGCCTCTAAGGAGCTATTTTCTGCTGACTGACAGCATAGGGCATTAAAAATGTGAACTTTGTCTTACACCAGCATTCCTAGGAAACTATCTGCCCAAGCGACTTAACAAACTTGTCTTAAATCCCCGAAGCGTTTAAAAGCTGTTTTCTTGACGGTTGTAAACTAACTGCGAGGATTAAATAAGAATTCCAGAAAAAGGACGGAAAAAAAAATGTGTTAAAAGCTCAGAGTCCCAGTCAACATAGCGGTTTTCTTTGCAGCATAGAGCTGCATCTGTTATTTCTTCCTGCTCGCTCTCCTTCCTCACTTAATCCCGAGCCTGGAATTCGGCTCTGTAGAGGGTTTCAGATGGGAACTGCTTGAATCCCAAGGAAATTTAACTGGATTCGAAATACTTAAAGAAGCTGGATCTTATCTCCACCCCCGGGCACCCCCACACCCTTTCCTCTTTCTTCTTAGCCTGTGTTTGGAAGGAAGGGGGCCACTCTGTAAACCGAGAAGAGCAGGAGCAAGCCTCCAGACACATGGAAAGATTTAAAAATTATGGAGGGAGCAACTTCATGAATAGTAAATGTTGCCGTTGCGCTATAAAGTGACTTGATGAAAATAGTTCTGGCCCTAATAAGGCAAAGCAGATCAGTGGAGGGGGACCGAGGTACATACAACTCCCAACCTGAGCAGTGACAGAAGATTTGCCAAAATGTCTTGGAGATAGCTGATACGGCTCCAGGAATGGTTCTGGTGAGATGTATAGTCCATCATTCTTACAATCTTGAGGCCTGGGCTTTGCACACGGAAGCTTTGACTGGCTGTTCAGAAAGGAGGGACTAGCCAGGATTCTGGACTTGCTGCTACCAACTGGCTTGTCATGGTGCTCTCTTGTCCTAGATTAGGCTGCTTTACCCCATCCACCCAGGCAGCTACCACTCTACTCCCTTGACCTGAGGCAGGACATACCAGTGCTGGAAGGAATCGGGATTGTTGGGAATTCTGGCTTCCTGAGAGAAACAGCTTGGTATCTGGGAAAAGCAACGCACAGTTAACAAATCTCAGAGGTGAGATAAACTAGACCCCTTGAAAAAGGAGGTGTGGTGGTCTCTTGGGATATGTATTTCAGACACAGACCATTCTTCCATGTCCTTATTCACTTTGTCCTAAAGCTCACTGGATTCTTCCGCTTTTGACTAATAACAAATACCTTCTTTCCCTATGGCTAACTCCAGCCTTTTGTCCAATCTTTAGAAACTGTTCCTAGACTAGTATGTTCCCTCTTTCCCCTGAAGTCCTAGAGAAGGGGGGTCCAGCATCTTGGACATGCCTGGCGAGTCACTGAGCTGCTTCCCTAAGCCCTAAAATGGTTTTGATTTGCACTTCAGTCTAGACTTAAACCCATCATCCTCCTGCCTCTGTCCCGTGAGTGCTAGGATTGTAGGTAGAGTACCACACCTGGCTAAACTATGCCTTTTAACTATGGCCAGAAGAGACAGATTGTGGAGGAATGGGAGGAATGTCTTTCTAATGCAGATATGTTTATGGGGCTGGTGATGCTGATACCACAGTTTATCTCCACCTGAGGATGTAAAGGAGGCTGGGAAGGTAACCAAGGCATTGTTTTCAGGCCTTGCTGATTTGTGAAAAAAGAACATCCAGAGGCTTGCTCATTCGTTATTTCTTCTTTCCTTTTTTCTTTTGGTGTTTTGAGACAGTCTCAATGCATTTCTCTTCCCAGGCTGACACTGAACTTCTACTCTTTCAAGTCCTGAAATGATAGGCAAGCACCCCCATGCCTAGTTCAGAGTTTGCATTTCTAACAAAGACTTACTATAATTTTAGGGGTTAAACTGAAAGTCTAAATTCCTGTTCATTGGACCTGTTTCTTGTCTTACTCCATAGGTTAGATGGATTTTATTAAGCTTTGGGTGGAGGGAAACAGGAAGACAGGTATTGCTTTTAAGATACTTATTCGCATAGTGATGGGGTAAAGGCTTCCAGGAGCTACTACTGCCCATACCCCTGTTTTCTAAAATTTAAAAGACCAGGAAAGCATGGCTTGCTGGGTGGCATTCAGCCATCAGGAAGCATTGGGAGAAACTGCTCCTGGTGAGACCATGAGGAAGTTGCTCCTTCATTTCTCTCCTAGTCTGAGCCTAAGTCTACTACTACTTTAATCAAGTTAACTTGAAAACACCATGTGTTTCTTTACCTCCTTCTCTCCACTGGGGGGATTAATCACTCCTATTCTTGAAGACAAAGCTGGGATGCTGGAATGTGTGAAAAGCCTGCCCAAAGGAGTTCACAGGGGGCATGAGTTGCCCCCACTAGAAGACTTGCAAGGGGACTGGCCTAAGGGGTTATGCAAGGGACCTAAAGTATAAATAAGGTTTCCTATACTCAGGCAGAATTAGAATAGGAATTGGATTGGCAATATGAAACACCTGACTAGCAGAATGTGGTGCTTCATTTTGTTTTTGTTCTCCCTAGAGTTGTAATTTTTTCATAAAGTTGAAAAGCACTGCTACTGAATTGCAGAGGCTAGTCCAAGTCTCATTTAGAAGACAGAGGGTTCACATCAGATAAGTGTGCTTAAGAGAAATCTAAATCATGGTGGATTAATCATGTCAGTTAGAAACAAACTATCAGGTCTCCTCTTAAAGACAAAGCCGAAGTCAATAGTCCTGCTTAAGGGTACAAATGATGATGGATATCTTTTTCATTTGTGGTTTATTTATTTATTTATTCCAAGACAGGGTTTCTCTTTAGCTTTGGAGGCTGCTCAGTAGACCAGGCTAGCCTCGAACTCACAGTGATCCACCTGCCTCTGCTGGGGTTAAAGGCCAGCTGGATATCTTAAGGGACCACCAGCTCATTCATTTGTATACTAGCTCTGTCTGTCCTTCTGCCAACACAGAACAGTTGGGTAGTGGGTGAAGCATCCACACCACCACTCATAAGATGACCTTGGGCACACAGAATGACCTCTCAGTAGTTCTGTTTTCTTATCTGAGGAAGAACAATAGTACTTGGGGACACTGGGAAAATAGATTAATCTCTATCTTTTCCAATACTTTATTCTGTTTGTTTTTTTCTGCCCCCCCCCAACAACTGAATTAAGTGTCTTTGGGAACCCTGAAAGTAAATGGAGAATTTCTTAATCAAAAGTGACTACCATTCACCTATCTGAAAAAATGTCAATCATTCAAGTACTCAATAATAAGGAAGCCTGTGCATATGCTTGTGTTCATGCTAGAACAGACAGTTACTCTCTGTTCTCAGCATGGAAGCCTGCTATTTGGTTTGGTCAGAATGACCTCTGGTCTCATTTAAATCTTCCCCACACCCTTTCAGACTCCCTAAGGAGAAAGAATGAGCCTTCCCCTGAGGTCAGCATTCTAGCCAAGGAAGTGGGAAAGGAGGGACCACCCTGACTAAGCTAGTGTCTAGGCCAGGCCAGGCCCCAGTACTAACATGGCCCACATAGCTGGGCAGGTTGCCATGGTTATTCCCCTTCCTGCATCTTCCCACCACCCTGGGAGGAAACTTGCCTCTCTAGGGCAAGCAGAATCAGAACAAATTGCTTCCTGGTCTAAAAATGGAAGTTACTCAGTAAAGTAGGACCTCTCTCCATTCATTGCCCTTCCTCACCACTCAAATTTATTTTAATTCCAGTATAAAAGTTCTAATCTTTGCTAGCTCTTATATTATCTACATAACAACACATGAGGACTAATAAAGTTTCTGTTATTACCTCAGTATAGACATTGCTTGGCAATTTCTGTCCCTCTTACCCTGCACAAACTAGCTGGGGGCAAATGACCCTTGGCTGATGTAAGCTGGTGAGAATTCTCAGTAATGGGTCATGCCAACTTAATGTTTAGTTCTAGGGAAGTGACCAGGAAGCAGGAAGTGTGACAGCCATCTCTTAGATTTTCAAGAAATGTCAGAGAAATGGGTAAGGAAAAAATAGGAAGTAAGAATTCTAGAATATTGGGTCTATAATACTGTAAGAGGTAAGAAAGAGTGTGTTGCAAGTGTGAAGCAGGTGCCTATGTGTATAAACTCTGGGTTCACAACCCAACACTACAGAAAAGAAAGAAAATGAAATTAAAATGCTACTAAACATGGGAGAAGCTTGAGTGACAGGCAGAAGATTTAAGATGTTTTTCTTGGTAAAAGCTAGTCTGTTTTTCCTTAGGAATATGATGTAATACATTAGGTTGAAATACACCAGGATCTTCAGAGAACATATAAACTGCCATTTGTAAATGGATTTGTTAAAGCTAAAGTCACCCTTTCAGGACTGGACACATGGTGTATGCTTCACATCTAGGAAGAACTTCTTGTAGAGTGTGGTCTCCACTCTAGACTGATTGAACCAAGCCTGCAGGAGGCCTCACCCAGCCATAGTCTACAAACCTTTTATTTGATCTTAAGAGTAACAGTTATAATTCAGTTTTATGATTCAGTCATTCAATAGAAAGCATAACAACTTTCTTCAGTTCCTACAGTCATAGAA